GTATACCTGTATGTTGTGGTACATGAAAGGCTTAAGGAATTTAACCCCTTCCCGACCGTGGACGTATCTGATACGTCTGGCAGAAAACGTTCCATAATGACCTTGGACGTACCTGGTACGTCCGCAGCTATTTTGAGCTCTGGAAGCTCTGATAGTATTGCAGTGATGCTCTGCATGTGCTGAGTGCCTCGAGGGGTCCTGGCACTCAGTGCATATATAATAATATATATTAAAAAAATAAATAGAAAATAAATAAAATGATCAATATTAACCCCCCCCTCCCCCCCCATCCCTTTCTAAAGGCAGTGAATCATGGGGCTTCTGGGGGTGTCCCTAGCATGCTGCATCATAAGGGGCAGGCTGGGGTCATCCAATCACAGCTTGCCCCATTAGCAATTTCATCCCAAGTGTGTTCCCCATTTCTCTGATTAGTGTGGATCTGCCTCCCTCTCTTCACTTGTGTTTTAGTGAGAGAGGGAGAGAGATCTGTGGTTTAGCTAGAGAGATTTAGGTATTTATAGGTAGGGATTTGTAAACTCTTGAGACCCAAAGGCTCTTTTCAGAGCCATTAACCCCTGTCTTGCCAGTGATCACTATAATCACTGGCTTTTGCACAGCAGTAATTTTCTGCTGTTTGTGCATATTTTTTTTAGGGGTTCATTTTTTGTGATTTTTTTTTTTTTTTTGAGACCCAAAAGCTCTTTTCAGAACGATTAACCCCTGTCCTGCCTGTGATCACTATACAGATCACAGGCTCTTGCACAGCAGCACTTATTTTGCTGTCTGTTCATTTTTTTAGGGGTTATTTTTTTTTTGTGACAGGTCACTAAGTAAAGTGATTGTGATCATGTCACATGGGTCACGGAAGTCAACCAGCGCTGAGCAGTCATATGCCACCCTTGCGCTAGAGTCTGACGCGTCTGTGTCAGACTCTGACCCTGATTTTGACCCAGCCAGGTACTCAGATACATCATTACTAGATACAGTGTCTGCTGCTAGTGATGTATCTAGTGATGTTGTATCTGTGCCTGCTAGTCCCCCTGCCAGAAGGAGACGTGCTGCTACAGCTGGCAGAACTGCTGAGGAGTGGGTAGTGCCTCATCACCAGAGGCCAGACATCCCATCCTTTACTGCAAATCCTGGCATTAATTTGGATGTCACAGGATTTAGCCCTCAGCAGTTTATGGAGGTGTTTCTGGGCGATGATGTATTGGGGAACATTGTCGCCCAAACTAATTTATATGCCCATCAATTCAGAGCTACAAATCCTGACTCTTTTTTTGGCAAAGCAGCAATGGGACCCCATCGATGTGCCAGAATTTAAAAGATTCTGGGCATTGACTATGCTGATGGGCATCATAAAGAAGCCCTCCATCCGCTCCTACTGGAGCAGTAGCCCCATCTGCTCTACCCCCATTTACTCCCAATGTATGTCGAGGAAAAGGTATGAAATGATTCTGCATTTCATGCACTTCAGCGACAACAGCCTGTGTCCCTCTAGGGAGCATCCCCAATTTGACAGGCTGTATAAAATCCGCCCCCTGATTACCCACTTCGCTGCCAGGTTTGCAGAGGCTTATACACCTGGAAGGAATATATGCGTGGATGAATCCCTGATGAAGTATAAGGGAGGGCTGGGATTCAAGCAGTATGTTCCTTCCAAGTGCTCTAGGTGTGGTGTAAAGATGTATAAGCTCTGTGATAGCGAGAATGGGTATATTCAGGCCTTCCGGGTGTACGAGGGAAAGGATAGCCACCTTGACCCTCCAGGTTGCCCAGAACATATGGGAACCAGTGGCAAGATTGTCTGGGACCTGATTTTCCCCCTCATGAACAAAGGGTACCACTTGTATACTGACAATTTTTATACAAGTGTCCCTTTGTTCAAGCTACTGTACTGTTTTGATACAGTAGCTTGCGGCACAATTAAAAAGAACAGCACAGGTTTCCCAGGACAACTTGCACGCACCCGGCTACGAAGGGGGGAGACCTCAGCTCTGCGCCAAGAGGAGTTGTTGGCAGTTAAGTACAGAGGCAAAAAGGATGTGTACCTTCTTACCAGCATCCACACTGAGGGGACTGTGGAGGTCCCTGTACGTGGCAGAGCTGAGAGGACAAGGAAGCCAGTGTGCATCAAGGCCTATAACCGGCACATGGGTGGGGTTGATCTGGCAGATCAGCTGCTGCAGCCCTACCTAATTATACGAAAGACAAGGGCCTGGTACAAAAAGGTTGCAATCTACCTAATGCAGATTGCAACCCACAACGCTTTCTTGTTGTTCAAAAAAGCAAACCCCGGGACGCAACTGTGATTTTTACAGTTTCAGCTCCAGATCATTTCGGGGATTTTGTACCGTGATGCACCTGCTCCCCGGGCGGTGATGGGAGAGTTGGGGCTACACATTTTATTTTTAAAATCCCCCCTACTGCGGCAAAGCAGAATCCCCAAAAAAGATGCAGGGTCTGTTCTAAGAGGGGACAGAGAAAAGATAGTGTATATTACTGTCCTGATTGCCCTGGACAGCCTGGACTCTGCATTGGCGACTGCTTCAAACGCTACCACACGCTGGTCCATTTTTTATTTATTTTTTAACATTTGCCGTTCAGTTTTTTTTTTGGGTGGGGGGGGGGTTGTTACATTTACCCCGTGCATGGGGGGCATGGGTGTCCTAAGGAGAAGCCTTGCAGAAAACCACCTGGGGTGTGTTCTTGCAATAACCAACAGCGGGCTCTCCTAAATCACAGTCAAAAAGCAGTGTGCGTGTGTGAAAATGAGGATTGAACAGTTACCTCCACACACGTTCTTCAACTGTTTTATTTTATTTATTTTTTTGGTCTGGCTAAAAAAAAAAAAAAAAAAGTTGCATCAAAGCACTCCACATGCAATACCTTGGGGTGTCTACGTTTCGAAGTGTGTACCCTTTCGTGGCAATCCATAAAACTGGGGTATGTGATAAGCCCCAAGCTAAAGATAGGCCTATCAGAAGAAATACTCTCAATTTCAACTCAAATTGAAAAGTCATACCATTGTAACCATACCTTCCCAAAATCCTGGCAAGCCTATGCATGGGGGGCATGGGTGTCCTAAGGCAAAGCCTTGCAGAAACCACCTGGGGTGTGTTCTTGCAATAACCAACAGCGGGCTCTCCTAAATCACAGTCAAAAAGCAGTGTGCGTGTGTGAAAATGAGGATTGAACAGTTACCCCCACACACGTTCTTCAACTACTGCAGGGTGTCAACTTTTCAAATACATGCACGCTCATGTCAAGAAAATACATTGGGATATCTGATAAGTCCCCCAAAAGGAAGATAGGCAAACAAGATGTTTACAATTTGAAAAACGCATATCAGACATTTTGCTTTGCACCCCCCAGTGAACCCGACAAACATATGCATGGGTGGTATCGCTGTACCCGGGAGATGTTGCCGAGCATATATTGGGGTGTCCTTTGGCAGTAACACCTAACAGGAGCTTAGAATTTATGCTCAAAGTAGAATGTGTGAGTGAAAAAGTGAACATGAATGTGTGAGTGAAAAAGGACATCACAAAAACGTTTGACAGAGACTGGTGGTAGAATTAATGCATGTAAAGTTTTGAAATGCCACCATGTGAAATGCCCTAGGGTGTGTAGCTTTCCAAAACATACGGTTTGACGGAGGTGAATTACATTGGCTGGCTTCAGAAATGTTCCAACTGGGACATGGGTGCGAGATGGCCAGCTGTGTTTTATGTTTCATCATATTTCACTTTTTTTATTCTAGTAAATCATATGATATGATGAAAATAATGGTATCTTTAGAATGAACATTTAATAGTGAGGAAAACGGTATATAATATGTATGGGTACAGTAAATATGTAAGAGGCAAATTACATCTAAACACAGCCACTGCAGAAAAAGAGCCCTGGTCCTTAACGGTAATACAATTGAAAAATGGCCTGGTCACTAAGGGGTTAAAGGGGCACTATAGCCCAAATCCATAACCCTCTGCTTTTGTTTTATTTCTGCAACTGAAATCATTTCCATCCTGCATAATGGTTATTTTTTCATTGCTGGGTATAAATGTTAGCCTGACAGCCAGGCAACTCTTCTGAAATAGGAGAGGGTTGATCTCTGCATTGGAGTGACTGAGATCATCATTCTTGGTGATCTCTGTCAAGGAGGCAGGACCAACAAGGTTAGGGTGAAAAGGTGAGTAAAATTACTATTTTTTTTTTTTTTTTTCTCCTCACTGCAGGTATGGGTCGGTAACCTTAATGGCCACGAGGGCTTTATAGAGTTAGGAATACATATCAGTCCTTTCAACCCTGAAAAGCGCCTTTGGGAAGTGAGATCTATAATTGCAATACACAGGAATTCTCAAAGTAGCCTTCTCATTATCAAAGTTGTATTGGTCAGATTCGATCTTGGGTTTTTATAATATACTGGAGGGCGATTTTAAAAAAACTAAACATTTTTAATAAAACAAAATTAAATCAGACTTCCTTGATTTCATTTATATAAAAAGTTATGTGAATTAATTGATATAGTCTTTATAAATAGATCTTGAATATAAAGGGGCAGTGTTAATAACTGGACTCCTGTCATTGACCATGCCATTATATAGTTCTGTAACAACTTAGAATTAGTATTCAGGTACTTTGTACCTATATTTCTACATTAACCACTTAGGGACCTCATGGTGGTCTATGCTGTTGTGCAGGACTTTCATGCCCAGTGATGGCATAGACGTCATGCATTAAAGGTACCGAGGACATCTCTGGGTCCCTTCTGTCAGCTTAAACTGTCAAAATTCTCTTAGTTGCATAGCATGGGGGGTTGTACTTTCTACAAATATATACTTTTGTGTAGCGGTGTTGGAATCAGTGGTTACTATTAAAGTTATAATCTCAGCATGCTCTAAAACCGTAATTTACTCCTTGCAGTATTTGTTTTATAACTTCTTAAAAAGAATTGAAATCCTAGACATATAGGACATTTTAATAATCAGGACTAGTTGGTGAATCTTTTTTGGGTGCATTTAAACAGAAAGGATGCAAATATGGTGGAATGAATACATGGTAAAAAGATAACAAACACTTTGCAAAAAAGAGTTTTGGACCTTAAGGGGTTAAACGCTGATATCAGAATTTTTTTTATGTTTTATTTATTGATTTATTTTTATTAGTATATAATTGCACAGAAGTGTTTAGTAAACTGTAGCCCTTTTTTAGCAGCAAAATTGTTGTCAATTGTTAATTGTTAAAGTTTACACAAAAAGTATTCTGATCTACTGAATCTTTATTTGTATGCGTTCCCACGAGGATAAATTGTGAGTTTTGGTCCAACCCTACAAATAAGCAACAATTTATTAATGTCTCTTCACCACACATCGTGAAGAGGATCACTTCCTCATTGTTACAGATTTATTTCTCGTGCAAGGCAGCATCCTGTTGGGGTTTTTGCTAGTGTAATGTTCAGAACGGATATTCATGTGCATTTATAAATGGGTCAGACTTGCCAGATAACATTATGTTGCACAGAAGACAAAACATCCTCTCTGTAAAGATATGAAATAGTCTCTAATCTTTTATATATGTCAGTAATGCTTCTGGCTAATTCTCAATAGCTTAAACAGGTAGGTGGGTGATGTGCAGGTGTGTGACCTTTTAATGTGAAGATCAAATGTGTGTTAGCAGATGTTTCTAGAAGCTGCTTCTCTTTTCGTGGTAGGAATCATCAAGTTGTCTGGTAAATGTATTAGAGAGCTGCCCACATTAATAATTTCTTCATTTATTTATTTTACATCAGAGCATTTGGGACATTTATTTTACTCCTTTACTGTGAGTTCGTTCCAAAAGAAAGATGCAACATTGAAAGTAAATGTGCAATTAGTCACACATGACAAGTTAATTCTTGTACCGAAAGGTTCTGAATCAAATTCTGATTGAATAACTATGAAAGTGAAATTCTATGCCAAAAAAAAAACCCTCACCAAGAAGATTTAATTTCATGATTTTATTAAAGTAAAGTTAAAACATTTACTAATTCTGATATTTATTAGATCACCTTTAAAGCACAGTTTGGATTGTTTGCTGTATGACAACTGAGAAATTGGAGTATAAAAAGAGAGAGTTCCCTTAGCTGGATATTGGCATCTAAACCATATTTGGGCAGAGCCTGGCAGTGACGTGACACTATCCAGGTACCAACAGAGTTTGGACTCTTTCCATGGCACCCTTCATTCCCACGCCAGAGCTTCTCCACCAAGCTATAGTAATGTGCTGTCATCCACCTGTCTCTTGGTCACACAGTACTGGCTGACCTCTTTCACTTAAAAAAAAATTAAAAAAAAATGTAGTGACCCAGTCATTGCAGCAGATTACTGAAGGTCACCTGCTTGTCTATTCTTCAGTGACACAAAGTAACTTCACACTCTGTCTCTTCCCTTTCACTGTTTAGATACAAATGTAACATGGTGACTGGCAAAATAGAAGCCACGCAGGACAGTTTGGTTTTGTGTGCTCTGCTTGCCAGTGGCAGATTGGTGTGTAAAAATTAGTGGTACTGTGTTCAGATATATAAATGGTTATAAACATGTATTATTATTATTTATTTTTTTTTCTAACTCTAAAAAGGTCTGTGATAATAAAATTATATAAAATAACATTTAGGCTAATAAACAACAACAACAAAAAAACCTTAAGCTCTAGAGAGACATAAAATAATGGTGCTCCTTGATTAATGATGAACTTAGTCCAGATGTATTAAAGAGAGGCATGTTTGCAACTTGTGTTCATTGTATATAAATGAGCACATATAAAAACAAGTTCAAAGTGATATGTAAAAGTTGGTTAACTTGACTATTTTTTCCCAGCTTTTGCTTTAGGAAGTCTGCTTTTTATAACCGGAGGTACAACTTTTAAGTGTTCTTATATGTGTATCTTCTCTTATTTTGCTGTAACTTGAATTCTAGATCTATTCTTATTGATTACTTAAAAAAAAAAGTCAGAATACATATTTAATCTCAATCCAGTCTCCTATACCCATTACCTGCTTTTTTTTTTTTTTTTTTCCTACAACACAGATTTCTTGTAACTGTAAAAGAGGTATGTCACAGTAATATTACACTCACATTTAAAACTTATATCTGTGTTTGGTTTTTTTCTTGTTTTTTTTTATTTTTATTTTTTTTACGTAAAAAAGATATTGAGGTATCACTAACCCTTTTATCTCATTGATACATATACCATGTGAGGTATTATTGACCTGCAAATCGTATTGATACATACAGTGAAAATAAATTGGCATCTAGCCCCATTGAGGTCAGATTTTTTTTAAAGACTATTATCTATGACATCTCTAAAATAGTTTGACAACTGGTAAGTTATAGGAAACATAACACAAAAATAGAGATATCACTCTTCCCAAATGTGAAAAACAAATGTGTAGCAACACATTCATTAGTTGTAGTAAACTAGAACAATCTGAGTAAAACTGCATCAAAGAGATAAAATATGCAAACACCACCACCTATTCAGAATCTGCCCAGCAGTCCTGGGTCAGTCATTTCTAAATGATCTATTGTCCTTAGTGTGGTGCACTTGGAACTCAAGACCTGCAGAATGTTTTGAGGTGTTGATCTAGTTGTGTAAGTGAAGAAGAGATTGGTCAGGTTCAGCGATAAGAACATGGCACTTTGCTATATTACAGTACGACAGGATATCAATACAATACAGTACATAATATATTGTTACAGTTTGTCAATAAAGTCAGAAGATGGAAGTTTGTTTTCTGCATTCAGAATTGTAATTTGTCACCATGAGAATTCTGCTCCACTGAATCATGTGACAAATCTCTCTACTAGAGACCTAGTTTCTAGATGGTTAAAATTGTATTTACAGCTTTAGGCACAGAACATACAGGATCTTACCATGGTACAATAAAATCTGCTGTTCTTGTGTGATTGTATTTGTTGTTATACATTGTAAGCAACAATTCTGAGGATTTTGACATTTGCTTGCTAAAGGGGAACTTGCTGAAAGCAATATAAAGATAATGCATTCAATATAATGTCAAAAAGGCACATACCTTAAAACTTTCCCCTGGTTCACTGAATAATGGTTCTGTCTGTAGGCAGTCCATTTCCACACCAGGAAGAAAATCTATCTCATGAACTCCTGCACATCAGGCTTTATGGTATGTCAGGGGTTCCCAAAAGGTAGATGTTGTAAAACCACGACTCCCATGATGCTTTGCATGCATTCGGAATGCCATTACAATGGCAAACATCCTAGAAGTTGTCATTATTAAAACATCTGGGAATCTACCTTTTGATCATCCCTGGTATAGGTAGTTTTGTGTAGGATTAGATATTATTGCTCTGCCCTGTCAACTGATAGCAGTCCTACCACAGAAAAAATGGGGAACTGGGTTATATGCAGCTTTTGGCATAGCCATTGTCTGCAGCTTGGTTCTCTCTCCTGAGATAAGAGAGAGTGCTTGGCCCAAGTTGTGACCAAGCTGACACTCCCTGCAACACTTGGATGGCATAGCTAGCCTGGAAGCAAATTTATTTGTTGGCTGATTGGTGGGAGCTGAGCTGTGCCCAGGAAACAAAAGACAAATGTGTCAAAAATTTGCATTTCAGTGCTGCATTTGCCATGCGCCATAACCACTTCTGGTTACTCAAGGTCTTATGGTATTTAGATTAACCTTTTTTTGTCTGAAGAGAATTATTGCAGCTCTCTTTAACATAGCCATATTTAGAAAAAATATCAAAATATAGATCAAATACTGGATATAGTTTGAGAATTAAATTCTCAGATTTAGAGCAAAATAGTATGTTGGAGGGTACTACTCTACTGGAATAAAAGGGCTTCCACTAAAAAGCCCAGAGTGCAAGATAAAAAGTAGGTATTTGATATGTTCCAATCAGTATCCAGGAGTAGTTATGGTAGGCGTGATGTACCTTTAAATTTAGGAACAACATATTTAAAGGTACATCACACCCACCATAACTACTCTTGGATACTCATTAGAACATATTTAATAGTTCACATACTATCTCTCAGCAAGTTCTAATACCCAGCATTGGCATGTTATTTGTTTGGTCTAATAATATGAAAATAGTTATCATTTTCACTTAAGAACCATTAGGAGCAAATGATTTTGTTTGGTATTTATGCTAGTTAATAGTTGTTGCTTTTACTGATATCGGTTACTGCTTTATTGGGAGTAGAAGTAGGTAAGTTAAATGCAGTCGATTGTAGGGCATTTAAAGCTACTTGATCTTTAATCAGAAATTTGATGGTTTTTTTTGTCTATATCAATATATTTACGAAAGAGCAGATTTCTGAGGTTATGTTGTATTATGGCCTTTTGTTTCCCAATCATGAGTTCTAGACAGATGCTGTAATTAGACTGCATAAAGAGCTTTCCAGGAGAACTTTCCAGAAATGTGGCAGGACATTTGTAGAATCATGAGATAAAGCCTCTGTGGGTTATAATCTCTTTAGGAGTGGCTGAAAGATGCAATTTTTGCCAATTAGTTTATTGTAGTAACGGGATATCTCTTCTGGTAATAAGCTTCAAAATTGCCAACTCTATTAGGCACTGGATGGCTTGGTCCTATTCTGAAAATGAATCTTCAGTGTGGCCAGATCCTTGTAGCACTACCTGTTTGGATTCAGAGGTTAGTATTTTGACCGTCCAGAATTTTCCTTAATATCCAATGTGCAACTAAATTAATCTATTCACTTCAATTACCACCCATGTATCCTGTATTTTATTATGCCTGGCAAAGTTAACCACCCACTCTTTGAAGCAATTTTATCAAATTATCCTCGGCCCAAATATTTCTGAATGTTTAGGGGATTGCTTGTTTGCAAACTGTTACTGTAGCAATTTGTTTTTGTTTTTTTAATTCAGCAGAACAATTGCTGTTTCTGTGAATTTTTAACAGCTCACTGCTATGCACCTGAATACTATTTCATGGTTAGAAATGTATTGCATACTTAGTAAGGCACTCTTTTAGACTGTCACCTTCCAGGCTCCATGTAAAAGCTTTTGAGAGAATTTCGTTGTAAGCATTATGCTATCGTCAGTGAAGAGCAATATGTGTACGTATTTCCACAGTGTAAGCAGACACCATAATTTTATTAAAGGACACGGAGGCTCATATTAGGCTTCTCTCTTTCTTTTATTTCCTCAGCAGCAAAGAAAAAGCTAAGGTGTTTATTTGTATAGGAAAAAGAAACATGCAATAACTACCCTCACAGGGTTAACATTACATCACCAACTTCCCACCAATAGGAACAGTCCTTCTCTCATATCCTCTCCTGTATCCTCCTCCTCTTCCTCTTTCTTTGCTGCTGCCTCAGCTAAGTATCACTGTTTTTTCTCTGACTCCATTTTGTGACTGTTTTGTTTATGTGTTTATGTTCTTCACTGATTATTGTGCTGATACTTGGTTTTGCTGCATTTTCTGCTAGTTAGCTTTAAGGGATTCTCCCTCTGTGTGTTTCTGGTTTGCCCGCGTTCCTTGCAGGCGCCCCGCCCCCCTCCCCTGCAGGCGCCCCGCCCCCCTCCCCCCCCCCGGCGGGGTTCCGGCTTCCGTGCAGACCGCCGGGTAGTCTATTACCCTCTCCTCCCGGTCGCACGGTGTGGGGAACCCCCTGGGAAGAGCCCGGTTTCTTCTCAGGGTCTTCCCCCAGCCACACTACCGCGCGGGTGAACGGCGGCGCGCGCGCGTGCGCAGTCGCAACCTCCAACAGTCATCTTAAAGGGGCGGTACCGAAATTTTGCCGCTCTTTTTTCCAGCTCTGCTCACAGCCCACTATCAGGGCGTGAGCTGATTGGCCAAGTGGCTTGCCTGTCAGCCTGCCTGTGTCCCCCAGAGGCCATTCCTGGGGGAACACTCGGTAAGCTGACAGTACAAGCTGCTGGTTTGTTACTGTGCTTTTTTCTTTAGTTGGTCTGTTTGCCTTGTCAGCCTCTTGTCCAGCCTGCACACTCTAGTTTCACAGTACATTTAGTTACCCTAGTGCTAGTTTGCCTCACTCACTTTTTGGCCCAAGATGCAGACCCCTACTGAATGCTCTGCCCCTGGCCCAAGTGGTAAGGGGGACACCAGCAGGTCCTTGGTGGCTGCACCCCCCAACCAGCAAGGGGACGTGGTGGCCCCCCTGGAGCAGTTGGACTCAGAGGAGTTCCACTCGCTCCTGGACGCCACCATGTCTAAGTCAGTGACCCAGGCTATCTATACCGCAATGGGGGTTATGTCTGACAACATATCCCACTCTATTTCCACTGCTATTAAGGCAGCCAACCCGAAGGGAGTCCTGGGCAGGGTCACAGACGAGGGCCTGGTACAGAAAGAGGGCCGTAAGGCTGTGAGAAAAACTCACTACATGGGAAAGCACACCTCCAAAACTGAACTGACGGACAGGGTACGTCCTGTCACACCTGAGGTCGTGGGGCCCCCACGAAAACGAGCCACCCGCCGGGCAAAAGCGGCGAGGACATGGAAGTGGGCAAAAGCCCAAACTGACGCTTCCGACTCTGGTTCGGATACGGAGGAGGTTTTGAGCGAGTCCGATGAAGTTGACTCCAATGATTGGGAGGTGTCCTCCCCCGAACGTAGTCCAGCACGTAACCCGCCTAACCCTTTGCATGATGCTGCGGATGATTCCGCCATATTGGATCCGCAGGGTGAACCGCTGTTCGACCCTGATACTCTGCAGAACCCTAGGTCAGCGGAGTGGTACCCAACCGACCATGTGGCACGGTACATTGCGGCCAGAATCCGTAAACCCCTAGATAAGACCGCCAGACAAAAACTGCGGGCGGAGTGCCCGCGCCCGACAGTGCCCGACATGGCCTGCATCACACAAGACATAGACCCCAAATTAGCGCAGTTCCTGGGGAAATCAGGCTGGAAAGCCAAAAAGGGTCTTGATTACTCCCTGCGGCAGTGCCAGGATAAAGTGCTGGATACACTAGGCCCTAGTGCCAAAATATTTGAACTGGTTGAGGAGGCATTAAATGAAGGTACACCACTTGACATTCTGGCAATTAGGGGCTGGGCCCAGAGATCCATATGCCTCATCGGCAACGCAAATGCTGCGATAGCCACTGAGAGGCGCAAGACTATTCTGATGAAAATCGAGCCCAAACTGGTTAACATGGCTCTCTCCGAACCGGGACCGCAAGCCAAGGGCCTCCTGTTCGGAGACAGTTTCGTTAAGGAATTGGGCACGTACGTGAGTACCTTTACGGCCCTTGACAAGGCACAGACGAATTTAAAACGAGTGTTCTCCCCCAGAGTTTTTGGCGGGGCCGTCTGCCCGGCCGCTCCTCCCGCGGTTCCTACCGGGGATACAGAGGTCCCGCCACGGTTCGACCCCAGCCACCGGAGACTAGAGCACCTTCTCCCTTCTTTCCGGTCAGAGCCAGGCCATGGCAGCCGCGAGGACCCAGGGGCAATTCTTACGGCCGACGTCCTTATGGTGAGTGTGCTAACCTCCCCCTCCCCGGGTATACCGACTGTGGGGGGCAGACTGTCACACTTTCTGGGGAACTGGCAACGCCTGACAACGGACGCATGGGTCCTCAATACTGTCACGGGGTATCACATAGAGTTTGTACAAACCCCCATCCAAGCAGGCAGGCCACACCCAATAGCTTTTTCAACACAAGACAGAGAATTAGTGGACAAGGAGATTGCCGCCTTACAAGAAAAAGGCGCCATATATCAGGCTACGTCACCTTTTCCCGGGTTCACGAGCAACCTGTTTTTGGTACCCAAGAAAGGTGGCGGAGTACGCCCAGTCATCAACCTGCGCCCACTAAACGCCTTTGTACGGTACCACCATTTCAAGATGGAGGGTATCCATTGCCTTCGGGACCTACTCAGACTAGGGGATTGGATGGTCAAACTGGACCTACAGGATGCCTACCTCACGGTCCCGATGGCGGAGGAGTGCCATCGGCTGCTCCAATTCCAATGGGACAGAGTGACGTGGAGGTTTCGATGTCTCCCCTTTGGGCTTTCATCGGCCCCTTGGTGCTTCACAAAATTAATGAAGCCAGTGGTCGCCTTGCTCCGAAGCAGGGGTGTCCGGATGATCATCTATCTGGACGATATGCTGATCATGGCGCAAGGGATCCCCCAACTGCGGGAACACCTGAAATGGGCACTGACGTTGCTCCAAAACTTCGTCAATTGGGAGAAATCGGTACTGACACCGTCCCAAACCATAGAGTTCTTGGGTTTCCATATCAATGCAGTCACGGGGACACTCAGCCTACCAACAGACAAGGTCAAAAGTATAAAAAAGGAGATCCGTCAAAAAGTATAAAAAAGGAGATCCGCAGGTCGCTCGCACGACCAGTGTTGACACTACGGCAGTTGGCCAGGATTATCGGACTCCTGTCGGCCTCCATTCAGGCAATTTTCCCGGGTCCACTCCATTACAGGGCCCTACAACGACTGAAAGCCACACAGCTACGCTCAGGGCACTCGTACTCAGACTCCGTGCCGCTCGATTGCGCAGCCAAGCAGGAACTCACATGGTGGCTGCGTCATATGGAAGCATGGAACGGCAGAGCAATCTTTGGGACGGCCCCGGATTTCATCCTCGAGTCCGATGCAAGCACTCACGGTTGGGGAGCGCGTTGCGGGCCTATCTCCACCGGAGGAATATGGGCGTGTGCAGAAAAAAGCCTACACATCAACGGCTTGGAGCTGATAGCGGGGTCGTTCGCACTGAGGAGCCTTCTCGGGGGCGCGACAAATTGCTCCATAATTCTGCGCATGGACAACGTTTCAGCGGTCCGGTACATCAACCACCTGGGTGGCACGAAATCAGAGATGTTGACAGACCTGGCCAAGGAGTTCTGGCAATACTGCCTGGATCGCAATATTTCAATACAGGCGGAATACATTCCGGGTTTGTCCAACGTCGTGGCGGATTGGCATTCGAGACATCTGTACGATGCCAGCGATTGGCGGCTGAACCGCAATGTGTTCTTACGACTTCAGACGCTCTGGGGCCCAATGCAGATAGATTTGTTCGCATCTCGGTTGAACTCCCAATTGCCAACATTCTTCAGCTGGAGACCGGATCCGGACGCACTGGCGACGGATGCTTTCCTCCAACACTGGCCGGACGGCCGATTATACGCCTTTCCACCATTCGCCCTCATAGCCCGGACACTGGTGCATCTCCGACGGACCCAGGCAACACTGGTCCTCGTAGCCCTGTTTTGGACAGCTCAACCGTGGTTTCCAACACTCATGGAGATGTCAGTGGACTTCCCGCGTTTACTCCCGGATGCCTTATTCCTGTTATCAGACCCGGAGGGCAATCCACATCCCTTACTGGTTCAAGGGCAGCTCAAGCTTGTGGCGTGGCTCCTTTCCGGGGACCCTGGGTTGTGCCAGATGTTCCACGAGAAACTATCGAGTTATTGGCAGGAGCTTGGGCGCCCGGAACTAGAAGATCCTACCTCCATGCCTGGAACGGATGGAGTCGTTGGTGCCTGGAGCAACGAGTGGATCCCGTATGTGCGCCTTTAGCTCCCTTGTTACGTTTCCTCACTGACCTGTACACCCAAGGCTTCGCATACCGAACCATAAATGTTTATAGATCAGCGATTTCCGCAGGACATAGAGGGATAGATGGAACCCCGATGGGACAACAACTGCCGGTATGCCGTCTCCTACGGGGAATTCGGTTTGCACGGCCCCCGCAACCCAGGTACACGGCATTATGGGACGTCACTTCAGTCCTACAATTGTTGGAATCTTGGCCACACAATGAGGCACTCTCGCTTAAACAACTGTCAGCGAAACTGACCATGCTTTTGTGCCTGATTTCCTGCAAGAGGGTGTCGGATGTTAGAGAACTGGATGTTACGGCACGCTCCTTTACCCCCACGGGAGTCTCCTTTAACATCTCCAGGCGTACTAAGTCGGCAATTACTTCAGTTTTTTATCCCTCGTTTCCACATAACATCAAACTTTGTCCAGTAGACTGCCTACGGGAATACGAGAAACGAACTTTTGGATTCAGGAATCCGATGCACCCAGAATTATTTTTGGCTATCAAACAACCTCATAAGCCGGTATCCACGGTGACTCTCGCCCGGTGGGTGAAATGGGTAATGACGATGGCGCACATAGATACTGCTGTCTATGGGGCACACTCTACCAGGGGCGCTATGGCGTCCAAGGTTTTCAGTTCGGGCTGTAGATTGGAGGATCTTTTGAGAACAGCGGATTGGTCGCGTGAGTCGACGTTTAAGGAATATTACTTTCGACCCACAGAGCACGTGTCCAGCGTAGTTATCTCGCAGCTTTAAACTAGCCTAATATGAGCCTCCGTGTCCTTTAATAAAATTACCAGATTTTACTAATAACATGACGTAAAGTCATGATTTTATAAAGGACACGGAGGCGAGTATTAGCCCACCCGGATTAGAAGCGCTTGGAAATGACTATCCCGGCCCAGGTACGTACTAGATAAGGTATTTGGTGGGAGTGATCAGTGGCTCAGTTGGGTATTTTCAATTAATATGACGGACAAGTGACGATTGTAGGTTGATACGTACAATATTACATGACTAGCTCGTTTTTTTGTAATGAGTGATGAAACGAAAATAGTTGGCAAGGACACATTTTACCATTGTTTTTTCTTGTCCTTTTCAGCCTGATTGGTCCTCCAAATTCACATCGTTGAAGAATGCCGGATCACGCAGTTAAAGACGATGTGCTCCGGAAGTTTTTTCTGTTCTGTTTCGTTTCTTACAATGACGTTATAGTTGGTCGCTGTTGAGGACATTGTAGCTTCGGCAACACCAAGAAAGAGGAAGAGGAGGAGGATACAGGAGAGGATATGAGAGAAGGACTGTTCCTATTGGTGGGAAGTTGGTGATGTAATGTTAACCCTGTGAGGGTAGTTATTGCATGTTTCTTTTTCCTATACAAATAAACACCTTAGCTTTTTCTTTGCTGCTGAGGAAATAAAAGAAAGAGAGAAGCCTAATACTCGCCTCCGTGTCCTTTATAAAATCATGACTTTACGTCATGTTATTAGTAAAATCTGGTAATTCTGATCTATGTAGTATTCCTACAGACTTTTACACTGTTGTTGCCTCGGGGCAATAAGTAGTGTATCAGTCTTTATATTTAAAAAATATGAGAACGGATTTTCACATTCTTTTACCTCTTCTGTCAGATATGTGCCTCAAGCATGATTCTAATTGGTACGGAAGTTCTCAGAGTGTGGGAACAAGTATTGTATAGAAGGCTATTTATGGCTATATAAATGCTTCTCTAGGCTCTGCGCTCTGAGGATATGAACAATAATCTGTCTCCCTCTTACCCATGGAGCAATCCCTAGAACATCTCTTCTTGGAAAGCAGAGAGCATTGAGTGTTTTGATGCAGTTGTATCCCCTATTGAGGTAACAATGTCGTAATCCGGATTTTCATCCATGCACATAAAGAAAGTTGTGGTAGCAAAATAAATTATGTTTAAACATAACCCCCTGAAAACTATAATCTGCGACACCTGATCAGTAAAAATAAAAATAAAAAAAATCATTAAATGCACAGAAAATTGTGTTCCTCCCTACTACTTCCTCGTCTTTCTTTGCGGGAATAAAAACTACTTTTGCATACAATCTCTTAAGCAGTGATATCTGTACCAGCGTCTCTGCTTGTTTTTATAAACTGACAGATTCTAAATTTCCCTTCTTCCTCTTTGTAAAATAACCCCTTTCTATTTTTACAAATCTTTACTCTAAAACCCTGTTTGGAGTCTGATCTTTGTTTTTCTGTTTGTTTGTTTCTTTTCTATTGCTGTTGTTTGATGTTAAAAGTTAGCGAAGCCTTGACAGAATTGTTTGAGTTCTGACTGAGCAGAGAGTTCACAGTAAAATACATTTCACACATATGGATTGTGGATTCCTGAAGTGAACTGTCTGTGTTTTGGTCATATCAACTGCGTCTAGTATGTACATTGCAAATGCTTTTTGCACAGGACTTCATGATGTCTGACATATCCTTAGAACTAAATATACACTGGCTCAATGTGATATTCCTCCCTTTTCAGTCTTTCCACCAGAAACTAATGGCAGTTTATCCAACTACCTTTCATCTCTTTCCAAAAGTGAGGTCCAGCCATCTTCGGACTTCCTGGAGGTTATAGAAGAATGGCCCTTTACCCCCAAGATACACAATCTTTTGCTTCTGTACAATGCACACCCTTTCAAAGGATACGCCATATGCCACATTGGCATTATTATCCATGCAGTCAGCAACGATCGGACATTGAGGGGGGATAGAGAAATGTTCTAGGAGCTTGCTGGCAGCTGCACATCGATCTTCTAGGTTTCTGTGCTTCTTCACTTCATAGGAGGGTGTGTCAGGAGCAGCCCAGCCATCCGAGGGATGAGCCTCATCAATGTATACCAACAGAAAGTCAGCCACATCAGAGAACTCCTCCACCAGTTTGCTGAATGCTGGCAGCTGGCTTATGAATGGGGGTCAGGTGGCCGACCCAAAGTTGACAACTAGGGGGCGCTCCGAACTTGCAAAGTCTAGCAGATGACACTGCCCTCCAAGTGTTTTACATTTCCTTCTACTTGTTACATGGACAACATTGGAATTTGGAGCTTCTCCGCCCAGCTTCACCTATTGAAAAAGTAAACAGAAGAGTTACATTCTGTGTGAAAATAACTCCTAAATGCTTATAAACAGGAGCTCTATCACTTTTTGGCTTTACATAAGAATAGAATATTTATGAAAAGCTCTTTTTGACTGTGTTGGAATGTATCTGAAGTTAAGATAATCTATGAAATATTCTACAGCAGGTGCCCAAAAGGTAGATCCCTGTGATGCTTTGTCATTCTAAAGGCATGCAAAGCATTATGGGAGTTTTAGTTCTACAACATCTCGGGATCTACCTTTTGGGCACCCTTGTTTAACAGTCTCTGGGGATGATCCACAGACCACATTGTGTACGCTTGCACCTTTGTGAGAATACAGTAGTGACAGCAGCTCCTGGCAGATTAAGTTAGCAGGAGCAGAAGAAGGTGAGTATATTTAGGTAAGTATATTTTTCCCTACCTACTCCCCCAGCCACTTACACACATGTAAATATATTGTTTTGAGAAGTGTTTGCAAAGAAATTGCAAAAAACCCAAAAGTGGAGTTAACTATATTTATTGCTTGGCATGCTGAAGACAAGTGAATATAAATAAATAGGAATGAATCACACAAACAAACAGAATATGAAGAATAGCTTTTCTATAAAGAGTGTACTGTACAAACGGAAATAATGGAAGTTATCTGTCAGACCAATGCTCTCAGTGTGGATTACCGTTGAAGCACAGTATTACTTTATTATTTTCCACATGTCTTTCATCTGATTTCATTACTTTACCCTGCCAACATCTCATCTTTAATCTTCCTATCTATTCATTCTAGAAAATGTCACTACATGTTTTCCCTATGATAATGGAAAATGCATGTGTGGATTACCATGTTTGCCACACAGTGTACACACTGTTCACCTTTGCAGAGGATTACGGATAGCAATTGCTCACAATTACTAAATAAATCGGTCCTTTTTAACGGTGAAAAATATTTAGTATCACCTTGGAGTAGGTGATGATTCTGTTTTCCTACATGCATACTTTAACAATTTTCTTTTATACCTTGAGCGTGTAGATGTGCAAAGCATTATGGGATTTGCATGCCTTGCAGTTATCTCATATGATGTAATATACATATATATATATATATATATATATATATATATATATATATATATATATATATATATATATATACACACACACACACACACTTTTTTTTTTTTAAATATGCATTTTAACAAAGTAGTATTTAGTTATGAAAAAATGCCTTCAAATAATAATTATGATTTTAAGATTAGTTGGATTAAGTTCCATGGAGGCTGCTGACATAATAGAGTTTAATTGATTTGAAAATTGGCTTATAAAATTAAGGAACATTTGTATATAAAATTGTATCTCCCTAACCTTTGCACATCTCTCATTTTTTTTTTTTTTTTTTTTTATCCGTGTGGTCATACCCATGAAGACCAGTGGTTCCTCAATGTTCAAGCAATCTTTTGTTTATATTTAGTGATATGTACACAATGTGGGGACTAGAGAATATTATAGCTCAGAAAACTCCTATAAAGTGGTATCCCCTACACCACTTAGAAACACATAACAATACATACATATAATAGGTGGAGCTCTTAAATTCTGTGAATTTTCTGCAAAATAAAATAAGTACAAACAAATAGTGCAGTATGTCTTTAAAACACTATATGCAATAAAGTAAAAGAGTGGTTCAACTCAGAAGACTAGAGTCATACCATCATATGACTCAAGTAGTATGCTCCCTTGGACCATTGGGGGTTGTCCAGACCCTTCTTTTGCAGGATTCTTGGTGCTGCTACTTGTATCTCTTAGTAGGTAACCCAAAGAATGCCAGATGTAGAAGGAATCCTTTAATGGTAGTTTTATTTCTTCAATGAATAAAATACAATAAGAAAAAAATTATATATTTGTACCCGATATTTCTGGGTAAGCTTGATGGTCCAATAAAAAGTCCAAAACGTGTTTCGCCTGCTTAACAGGCTTCCACAGCCAACTGAGGAAGCCTGTTTAACCCCTTCCCGACCGAGGACGGTTCAGGACCGTCATCGGCATTTTTGCGTTGCCGACCGATGACGGTCCTGAACCGTCCTAACGGTCAGAGCTACTTACCTGATCGCCGTAGTTCCCCCGGCGGCGATCAGCGTGGCTCCGGTTGTGGGGAGACTGCCTGCAGCCCAGACAGTCTCCCCACGGCAGATTAGGACCCCTGTGGCCATGTGATCGCTTAACACAGCAATCACATGGTCACAATAGGTGTCCTAGTGTCTGCCTGCAGGGGGACTGCCTGTGCTGACAGGCAGTCTCCCTGCTAGTGTAAAATCAGAAAATAAATTAAAGTTAGTGTTAATAAAAAAATAAAAATAATTATATATGTGTATATATGATATATAGACATATATCATATCTATATAATATATGTCTATATATCATATATATAATGCCATACTAAGTGTATTTTTATATTAATATGTACTTATATTAATATAAAAATACACTTATAATTAAATTACACACGTATATATATATATATAATATATATAATAACTATATATTGTATATATATTATAATAAAATATAAATAATAAGTAATTTAAATTATTTTTTTTTTAAATAATAAAAAATTTTAAAAAATTATAGCTATATGAATTTTTATTCTAACTATATTTTAAAATTAATAAATATATATATATATATATATTTATATCAAAATACACTTAGAATGAATTTGTATATATATCTATGTATATAAAAATAAATAAAAATAATAAGAAATATACATACGTCCATATACAAAATTACATAAATAATTATATAAATATACACGTAGACTTCAAATATATAAATATGCATATATATTTAAATTCTACGTGCGTATTTATGTAATATTTTTACATAATTCAGTAATTTTATTGATTGCAATTTGAGGGACCTGCCTGCCAACCCAGGCCGAAATTCCAGAGAATTTAATTTGCTAGCACTGTATTTTACCCTGTAACGTTCTACGACACCCTAAAACCTGTACATGGGGGGTACTGTTTTACTCGGGAGACTTCGCTGAACACAAATATTAGTGATTCAAAACAGTAAAACATATCACAGCGATGATATTGTCAGTGAAAGTTACTTTTTTTGCATTTTTCACACACAAACAGCACTTTTACTGATGATATAATTGTTGTGATACGTTTTCCAGTTTTTAAACACTAATATTTGTGTTCAGCGATGTCTCCCGAGTAAAACAGTACCCCCCATGTACAGGTTTTATAGCATTTTTGAAAGTTACAAGGTCAAATATATGGGTCAAATATTTTTACATTGAAAATGGCCAGGTTGGTTACGTTGCCTTTGAGAGCGTATGGTAGCCCAGGAATGAGAATTACCCCCATGATGGCATACCATTTGCAAAAGAAGACAACCCAAGGTATTGCAAATGGGGTATGTCCAGTCTTTTTTAGTAACCACTTGGTCACAAACACTGGCCAAAATTAGCGTTCAATTTAGTTTTTTTACTTTTTTCACACACAAACAAATATGAATGCTTACTTTGGCCAGTGTTTTCGACTAAGTGGCTACTAAAAAAGACTGGACATACCCCATATTGAATACCCTGGGTTGTCTACTTTAAAAAAAATATGTACATGTGGGGTGTTATTCAGAGATTTATGACAGATAATAGTGTTACAATGTCACTATTGATAAATTTTAAAAATGTATGTTTTGAAACCGCAATATCCTACTTGTACCTATAGCCCTATAACATGCAAAAAAAAGCAAAAAAGCACGTAAACACTAGGTATTTTTAAACTCAGGACAAAATTTTGAATCTATTTAGCAGTTTTTTTCATTCGCTTTTGTAGATGAGTAAAAGATTTTTCAAGTAAAAGTCAAAAAACATGTATTTTTTTCAATTTTTCATCATATTTTTTTATTTTTTTTAAATTAAAATACATGAGATTATATAAATAATGGTATGTAAAGAAAGCCCATTTTGTCCTGAAAAAAACAATATATAATTTGTATGGGAACAGTAAATGAGAAAGCGGAAAATTACAGCCAAACACAAACACCACAAAAGTGTAAAAATATGCCTGGTCGCAAATGTACAACATCGCAAAAACAGTCCAGTCCTTAAGGGGTTAAAGACATACTGCACTATTTGTTTGTACTTATTTTATTTTGCAGAAAATTTGCAGAATTTAAGAGATCCACCTATTATATGTATGTATTGTTTTGTTTATATTTGTATACTTAGTATATATCTCAGGGAACAGACCGTTCCCCTTTTAGGAGGTCTGTGAATTTTTCCTTTTACATACCGCTGTGTACATGTAAATACAAAAAAAGAGGTGAGGGGGAACAGATGAGAAGGTCCATATGGTAATATTGTTTAAAACTGATAAAATGGGGGGCGTGGCCTGACCGGGAATGGAGTGAGACGCATCTCCCTGCAGCTCCTAGGCCCCAGCTCACTACCGCACCGATAAACGAGCACGAATAGACCCGAGATGGGTAAGACAAAGAGGCTACTCACCCCTGGCCCCTCACAAACGGGCTCACCGAGCCGCACAGCGGGTCCCATGGACGGGTACCTCGGAACGCCGCGAGACATGCGGGCGCACCAGGCCGCGGCCAAAATGGCGCCTCCCTCACCAGACGCCAGCAGCTCAGACAGCCCAGCAACAGGCCCAGCCAGAGAGGAGTCACTGACCCAAATTGCAGCAGACCTGGCCACAATATCTGCAAACATGATGTCCAAGGCAGATAAGACTGACCTGCTGGCTGAAATTAGGGCAGTAATCAGAGAGGAGGTCATGGAGGTGAGGAGAGACCTGACAGCACTGGAACGCAGGGTAGAGGAACTAGAGGCAGAACGTGCCCAAATAATACAACACCGCCAAGCCACAGACACAGCCACTACTAGACAAGGCAATGTCCTGCTGGAGTTAAGAAGGAATCTGGAAGATTTGGACAACCGCGGACGGAGGAACAACATCCGCGTCAGGGGACTCCCTGAAACAGCAGGGGAAGCACTACCAGAGCTCCTGCTGGGTCTGTTCACACACATACTAGGGGACAGGGCCCCTGCAGACTTTGGAATAGAACGTGCACACAGAGCCCTGCGCCCCGTGTCCGCGGAGGGACCGCCTAGAGACGTAATCTGCTACCTGCTCTCCTACTCGTTAAAGGACGAGATCATGAGGGAAGCGAGAAACCAACAGAACCTCACCTACATGGACGCCCAGATTTCCCTATATCAGGATCTCTCAGTACTCACCCTGGAAGCGAGAAGGGCACTGAGACCGCTAACCACCCTCCTTAGAGAACGGCGGATACAATACAAATGGGGATTCCCCTTTAGCTTACAGGCAAAGGTGAGCAACATATGGCATATCATACGCTGGCCAGCTGACGTGCCACGCTTCCTCCGAGCCGCGAACCTCCCAGCGGTGGCAGTCCCAAATTGGGTCCTGGAGAGACAGCCGCAACGCCCAAACGCTCCAAATATCAGGCCGGGTACGGGCCTTACAGGAACTGGGTTCCGCAGAGGTGGCCCGGATAGCCATGAAGAATAGCAGATTCAAGAGCCCTAGGGGGCAGCGACCGGCGCACCCACCGACGGAGGAATACCCCAGTTTTCACACCCCCATTCAACCCCAGAAACCACGCCGCAGTGAAACAGACCACCGGACCGCTCCCCCAAGGTTGATGCGAAGAAACAACCTCCGTAAGCAGAAGCTGACACAACGCTGGGTATGTACTTACACCCCTACCCTGGGCCCGTAGCAGTTACGCACAAGTCAGTGTGGCAGGGACTTGAGACTATGGAGGGCCACATATTTCTTGGGGTGATGGGATTTATGGGGACCGGGTACCACCCGGGGACGTTGATGACACGGAGGAGATCCCCCCCCAGATTTATACAGACTCGGGCTCTGGCCCATAGAATCCCCCCCTTTTTGGGTGGTTGGGGTAGAGGGGAGGCATTGGCGGACCCCAACTACTTGAATGGCACCACAGGATAAAATCTGGACAGTCCCATGATGACCCAGAGGGCCCCGAGACCCAAGCTCCGCCCATCCCCAGAAGGGACTAGCAAGCCAACAGGCAGGAGAGGACTCCACTTCCCCCAGCTGGAATAGGGAGCAGAGGAGGGGAGTATGGTTCCTTGGGAGGGGGGAGCGGGGAACGCCAGAGGCGGTGGTCTGGTCTTTACAGTTGTACTTGTTATTGTTATTGTTATTGATTAAGTCCACATGCATTATAACACTCCTAGGGGGGCACACACCTACACAAGGGGGCGGGTAACACGCCTGAACCCACGAAGCCAAGGGGGCTTGACCGGGGCGGGTACACCCTGGGAGGCCGGACCCGTTAGGTAATTACAGGGCCCGATTACCGACTAGACACGCAATACTCAGACCCTCAAGAACAGAGAGGGAAAGGGATAATGGGAGAGGGTACCCTCGTACTACTTCACCATACCCACAGGGAAAATTCCAATTAAACAAATACAGTGGGCTGGGTGCCGTGAGAGCAGTGCGATCCAGACGACGGTTCACCCAAGAACGGACGACCCACGTACCTCACGTGACAGACTCACACTGTACAAACCCTCGGGGGCTACTCTGGTGACATACCCCGAAAGGAATAGACACTGGGAAGCGACTGACCCCGAGGCGAGTCGTAGTCACCTAGACCCCGACCCACTAACCTGCCCTGACTTTGACTGGACTACCCTACTTCCCCCCCCCCCGAACCTTACCCCGCGATACTCTGACTCACCCATACCCCTTCCCACGCACAGCTAGGGATGGGCACTAACTATGTGCCGGCATCGCTTAACCTGTGGACGAACAACGTTAGAGGTCTAAACGTACCCGAGAAGCGGTCTCAGCTACTCAGTACTCTTTGGGCGGAACGCATCTCGGTGGCGTTTTTGCAGGAAACGCATCTTAAAGGAGTGGAGGCACCCACCCTGAAAAACAGAAGGTTCCCCACAGGTTATTACTCCAACCATGCCGACCAAAAAAAAGCGGGGGTGGCGATCCTCTTTTCATATACGGTCCCGTTCGTATGCACAGAGCAACGAATAGATCCAGGCGGTAGATACTTATTCATTAAAGGAACCATAGCACAACAGCCCTACACATTCGCATGCCTCTATACACCGAACCGTAACCAACATGTCTTCCTAAATAAAACACTCACTTTGCTCAACAAGTTCAGAGAGGGCTTACTAATTATGGCAGGAGATCTTAACACTCCGTTAGATGCCAGATTAGACACCTCAAGGGGAGAAAGCTCAATACCAGGTCATTGCATACGCGCAGTCGGGAGAGCTCTGACAAGAGTGGACTAGTGGATTGCTGGAGGGCGGCGCATCCTGATGGCAGGGACTATTCCTATTTCTCAGCTGTACACCAGAGATACAGTCGGATTGACTATATCTTTATGGCACAGGAAGCCCTGACACTACTCCGCAAGGCTAGCATAGGCCTGATTGCGGAGTCCGATCATGCCCCGGTCTCAGCCCAGATCCAATCCCCACTACACAAACCAGCGGAAAGGCACTGGAAGCTAAATGAGAATATGCTGCTTAACCTGGGTGACACTGACCCGGTTAGGCAAACTCTAACACAATACTTCGACAATAACACAACCCCCGATGTCTCGCCCTTGACGGTATGGGAAGCACATAAGTGTGTAGTACGGGGACACTATATTAAGGTCTGTACACAACGGAAGAAGGAACATACACGAAAGCTGATAACATTAAACACTCAAATAGCCAACCTAGAGCAAGCTCATAAACAAAATCAGGACGAAGACACGTTCCTCCATCTAACAGCGCTCCGGAGACAGAGAAGGGACATATTAGCTCAGGGTCTCCTACGCACCCTTAGAAAATCGGCCCGGTTCTTTTTCGAGCACTCGGACAAAAGTGGCAGACTGCTAGCCCGCCAGCTCCGTGACCGTCGGATGGCGAGCCACATACACAAAATTAAGCCCAGTGACAAAGCTGAAACCCGAATGCCGGATGGAATTCAGCGTGCGTTCGTAGACTACTACACGGACCTATACAATATCCCCCAACCTAACACTGACGCGGCCCGCGCACGACAGACCCGCCAAATTACTGAATTCCTGGAACAAAATATAGATAACAAGCTGACCGCGGAAATGCGGGACGACCTAGACCAACCCCTCACCATGGAGGAGCTGGCGGCAGCCCTAAAAATCTCCAAACCCCATAAGGCCCCTGGACCCGACGGACTGCCCCTGATGTACTTACGTACGTTCAGGGACATCTTATTACCAAATCTCTTACTGGGCCTCAACTCCATACTGGAGGGGGGGCGCTTTCCCCCAGACACGTTAGCAGCCACAGTTACTGTAATACCAAAAGAGGGCAAGGACCCGACGAATTGCGCGAGCTACCGCCCCATATCGCTACTAAACGCGGACCTGAAACTATTCGCAAAAGCCATTGCCCTGAGAGTCGCAAAACACCTCCCCCACTTGGTACATTCGGATCAAGTGGGGTTTATCCCGGGTAGGGAAGGGAGAGACAACACGATTAAGGCCTTGAACATCCTACACATAGCACGAGCGCGCCGTAGAGAACTACTACTACTTTCCACCGATGCCGAAAAGGCTTTTGACAGGGTGAGCTGGGCGTATCTGAGGAGTACCCTTACACACATGGGATTCAGCCCCAACATGCTGGCCTGGGTGCTCTCACTGTACACGTGCCCCACTGCGAGGATCCGCATTAACGGGGCACTTTCAGCCCCTTTCCCTATCAGGAATGGCACCCGCCAGGGATGCCCGCTCTCCCCCCTCCTGTTTGCCCTCTCCCTGGAACCATTTCTGGGGGCGGTCAGACGGAATGGGGGAATCTCTGGATTTGACCTTGGTCGTCACGAATACCGGGTAGCCGCATATGCAGACGATATGCTGTTCTTTCTTACACAGCCGTTGATCTCGCTGCCCAACCTCCTAGCATCTTTCCGAGAGTTTGGGGCACTCTCTAATCTTAAACTTAATACGGATAAGTCCGAGGCTCTCCACCTCCCACCCCCTACAGGCCCCCCAACACACCTTCACACCCAATACAAGTTTAAATGGTGCGAAACTAAATTAAAATATTTGGGCATATGGCTGACCAAAGACCCGTCCCAATTATACCGCCATAACTATCTCCCCCTCCTACTCTCACTTCAGACGGACCTTAAGAAATGGACCCCATATTACATCTCCTGGTTCGGACGTATCAATGCGATTAAAATGAACGTGTTACCCAGGATACTCTACCTACTCCAAACAGTGCCAATTACTCTCCCCAGAGCCTTTTTTAGCTCTATGACGACTGCCATTCGCAGGTTCGTCTGGAACTCTCGCCCAACCCGAATAAAAAAATCAACCCTGGAACTACCAAAACTGATGGGGGGCACGGGACTGCCCTCCATAGAGACATATTACCGCGCCGCTCACCTGCACAGACTGACGGACTGGCACGCACAACACCCATCAAAACAATGGGTGACCATTGAGCTAGAACAAACCGATAGAAAAATACCCTCTAGGCTTTGGCTACATACAGCCACATACACTGACCTGCACACCGAGAACCCACTAATTGACGCAACGCTCCGAGTGTGGATAGCTATACGCTACCGACTACAACTCACAAGTTCTCCTAGCCCCTTGACACCCATCACACATAACCCAGACCTGGCCGATGCTCTAACCCCACAAGACCTAGCCGGCCTCCAGCAGGCAGACTGGATGTATCTGCACCAATGGCTCGACACTCAGGGACTTAAACCACTCAGAAACCTCTGCCCAGATAGACCACCGACGATACTCGAACAATTCAGATACCACCAAGTTAAGACGTACTTCATGTCCTTACATGGTCGAGGACACCTGACTAGACCCCTCACCAGCTTTGAACACCTGTGCGTACACCGAACACACGTACACAGAGGTATCTCCACTATACATACCATACTCAAGACCCAAACTAACGAAGATGTGGTGCTCAAATTTAAAGATCATTGGGAGAGAGACTCGGGGGAAGTCCTTACTGTGCAAGACTGGGACAAGATTTACACTCTCACACACAAATGCTCTATCAGCTCCAAGTACCAGGAGCTGAACTACAAAATTTTAACACGCTGGTACAGAACCCCTGACGTACTCAATCGCATGAACGTAGGTGCCCCGGACACCTGCTGGAGATGCGGCTTGCATACCGGCACGTACTTCCACATCTGGTGGCAGTGCCCCGAGATCACCACATTCTGGGAGAGGATCAGGGTAGAGATAAACAAAATCACAGGTGCGGAGCTAACCCTAGAACCCCTAACGATGCTATTACACCACACCCCCACACCCGTTAAGACATATAAGAAATCCCTCTTGCTGCCACTACTCAACGCGGCAAAGGCCCTTATCCCAGTGATGTGGAAACAGAGGGGGGCGCCTACCCTCCAGCAATGGGTGACAAGGGTGGAAGAAATCCACTCAATGGAGTCCTTAACTGCAGACCTACACGGTAGACAGGAGCAATGTGCACTGACCTGGTACCCTTGGGAAACATACCTAGCCAACAGATTAGCAAACCCAAACACGGCCCCCCAGAGGCCCGCAGTTGACTGACTCATACAGAGCTAAGCCACCCGGCTACCCCTCCCTCCAAGGTCCCCTGCCTCCTGACCCTTTCCCGAGACTGGACATTAGACAGAACCCCAACGACCGACTCTGACTAGCTCGTAAATGGGGCTTATCAATACGCACACCCACTGTAATCACAGGTGTAAAACACACAGGAAACCGAGACCCAACCTAGAGCTGATACCGGCATGAAAATATCCCCTCCTGGCCTCCTAGACTGATACCCAGAGTATCCTCCCATATGACAAACTATACCGATAGACATACAAAAATATGCACTAGCAACTGCCAACCCACAATAGTGGGGAACTTAACCAAAACCATCACACTTTGCTCTCAACCAGGCGACAAGATGGCCTTGAATGTTAATAAGTGCTGAGTAGTCTGGGGAGGAGTTAAGGCACTAAAAATATCTTTTCTCGCTAGCGTGACCCTATACCATGCCCAACAATATATATATATACATGTCAAGCGACAAAAAGGCTCCTGACACTATTGGTATGAAACGTGAAATGAGAAATGTAGCATGTCAGAAAACATACCCCCCACAGCACCCAGACTAGACACCGATTCATACCCTACACGTAAAGCGCACACCATAGGTGCAATAAACTGCGCATTGTAGGCTAGTGGGGATGCGAGTCTAGAAACTTGACCTTAAATAATCCTATCTAAAGCATGAGATGGAAAATATAGAAATATTGTCTGAGAAAACTGTTTTGAGAATGTTAAAACAATGGTGACGAATGTTGTTAAGCTATTCAGAACACTGATGTTAAAATTGACGTTATACCGTTACTACATCTTTCCTTGAAAAAATGATAAAATTTGAAAATAAAGATTGTCAAAAAAAAAAACTGATAAAATGTATTCATGATATATATAATGTACAAAGCAAATTGGGCTCTCACATATTGTTGGGATATTACAGGCATAACAGTCCCTGAGGTAGCTCCCAATAGGAATCTCTGTCAGTCTCTGGGTGATGAAAATTGTGAAGATGGGAATTGTTCCTTCGTGTTTTGTTAAATAGGGTCACATTTTTGTTTTATGTTAAAGTTCCAACAGCGAAATGTTTTGCCTCTTTGGGCTTCATTAGTGGTACCAAGTCACTCACTGTCTTCTTGGTATTTAAAACCCTTATAAGCATAGTAAGGGGGCGGTCCAAATAAATTAAATAATACATTCTTAGTAAATAAACATTCTGAAGTTACCAAGATGTTAAGAAAAGTGTATTTAAAAACTAAATTGGATAAAATACACTGTTCTTGTGTTGATTAAATTAAATGCACACTTTTGCAATCAGGTTTTCATGGTAACCCATGTCTGTGTTTTGCGGACTGCTATCTTTAAAGGGGCACTATAGTCACCTGAACAACTTTAGCTTAATGAAGCAGTTTTGGTGTATAGAACTGCTCAATCCTCTCCCATTTAGGAGTTAAATCCCTTTGTTTATGAACCCTAGTCACACCTCCCTGCATGTGACTTGCACAGCCTTCCATAAACACTTCCTGTAAAGAGAGCCCTATTTAGGCTTTCTTTATTGCAAGTTCTGTTTAAATATTTTCTTATGCATTGCTATGTTAATAGCTTGCTAGACCCTGCAAGAGCCTCCTGTATATGATTACAGTTCAATTTAGAGATTGAGGTACAATTATTTAAGGTAAATTACATCTGTTTGAAAGTGAAACCAGTTTTTATTTTTATTTTTTTCATGCAGGCTCTGTCAATCATAGCCAGGGGAGGTGTGGCTAGGGCTGCATAAACAGAAACAAAGCGATTTAACTCCTAAATGGCAGTGAAATTGCAGGGGAATGATCTATACACTAAAACTGCTTTATTTAGCTAAAGTAATTTAGGTGACTATAGTGTTCCTTTTAGGATTTTTAAGAATATCTAACCTCTAAGACATTCATCAGCTAAACTAGCACCTTATACACGGACTGGTTATTTTCTTTTGGGCAAACAACTATTCATATCAGAATCGGCTTTCCATCGTAAACAGTGTGTTACTGTATTTGCTCTCATGTCTTAAATTTTATGAGACACTCATGTTTTGGTATTATCTAAGCAATGTCCACAATAATAAAGATTAAGTAAACAAAAAGAAAATTGAGTTTTTTCATATATTGCGCTCTTGCTGGTTTCCCTAGTTTATTATTAGGCTGCCTACTTTTTTTTTAGGCTCTATGTTAAGCTGTTACATTATATTTCATACACTATTTAACTTTATTTATAGGCCATTCAAGGAGAAAAGTGTATTGTTTTAAAAGCGCTCCAAACACTATTTGCTCCACAGTATAATCAGTTGGTGATTTAGAATTTCACAATTCCATATTGTTTACAAATCAGTGTCTTCTGCTTCCCAAATAAAGGTGTGTGTATGTATGTATCTATGTATATGTATATGTATATATATATATATATATATATATATATATATATATATATATATATATATATATATATATATATATATATATATATATATATATATATATCCTGTATAGACAAATATGTTCATTCCAAACTTTATGATCCTCCCAGTCTCCCATAAATAAACTGGTGAAGTTAGGGGCAAACTTAGCCCCTGTAGTTCTGCCCTTTATTTATTTTTTTTATAAATAGAAGCAGTTTTCAAACCAGTAGTAGTTGTTATAAAGAATGAATTGAATCCCCTTCAATATTATTTTATTTGCAGATCATCTTAAAGGGACTCTCCAGTGCCAGGAAAACAATCAGTTTTTGGCATTATATTTAAATAGTTTACAAAAGTGCATGATTCAGGCAGTGATTACCTTGCTCATGAATTGATTCTACCATCTAGCAGTGCAACTGACAGTGGCATGTCCTTTTCCTAGATCAGCCAATCAGTAATCTGGGAATGATTGAACATTGATGGACAATTATCCTTGTTTAACTACCTGAAGGCACTGTGCAACAAAAAGGGACAGACATGCCTATAAATCTTCCCAGGTAAATTCTATCAATATAATTGTTTTGTCTGTTTCTTTGAATCCTACCTTCAAATGCAGTAACCTTCTATTTATTATTTCACTTTAACCATGTAAAGACCAATGGGGTCTATCTAAATTACAAGTTTATAAAAAAAAAAAAAAAAAATGTTTATTTGCATTGTCTGTTAACTGGGGAAAAATGCACATAATTATTTTCAGCCCAGTTTAACCGTTCACTTCACGTGGTGAGCCATCTCCATTTGTTTTGTTTTATATATATTTTTCTATATTTATGTATTTGGCATATTCCTCTTGAGTCTGCTTTATGCTTTAGAAAATGAGATCTGCCCAAAGTGGAGTGTAAACCTCCCTGGATACAGACATGAGCCAAGTGAAGGAAAATTTCTCATGTTCTCAACATTCTACAAAAGCTGAGTGTGACAGGAAAAATGGGCGTTTTCAGGTCTGCTGCCACACAATAGGTTAATATTTATTACTGAAACCAAGCCAGAAATATCAGCTAGTAAATTCACATCATTAGTGGGGCGACAGCCCCTTAAATCTGTTTCAGCACCTGGTTTCTCCCAGGCAGGTTCTTACTCCAGCCCAAGGTCAAACATTTGTGAGCATAAATCTCCAGGTTGAAACATGCTTCCTGTTGTAGTTATGATGTCCAAGACATGTTGTGAGTCATTATTGGGTCCTTTTTATTCTCTGCCCCCAATAAATAAAAATATACATATTTACATCTAAAAATAGCATTGTATTATGTTCAGCAAAAATCTTATTCTTATAAACAAAAACACAAGATACTTATTTTCACATAATAGCAAGTGTTTTTTATTTTTATTTTTTTATATTGCAATCCGCTGATTGCCTTGAGGATGCCCTGTAATACCTTTCAATGGCTCATTTAGTGCTCTGGACTTCTTTCAATGCTTGACATCATACCAATTAGGACTAATTATTTGTTTGCCTGTGATGTCTGTGGTCATTATTTTGTTTCCGTTTTTACGCTTTCTTCTTTTATTTCAGCACTTCACCTGCTAAGATGCAGGATAAAATAAGGCCTGTTGTATGGGTCTTTTTCTGCCTTGGGCCACCATCTTGTTGAGGCTTTCTGCCTCTAAAACAAGTTAAGGTTGCGTTAAGACTCACACAAATAAACATACACACATAATTACAGCCCTCAGTCTGGACATTCATTTTGATTATAGATATATATTTGTTTTAAAAAGTAATTTTTTGCCGTTTACATAATTAATGGTGTATTGTGTTTGATGAGACTATTGATATGCATAATATTGTATGCTATTGCGAAAGCTGCAAAATATGACGCAGCACATGCAAGTGTTCATGCAGATTAATGTAAGATTTTAAATGAAGTTGCTTGACCTTTTTAACAGTATAAATGTTAAAGATAAATAATTTGAACAATCTGAAATTACTCTACTCAGATAAAATTGCAATGTATAGCGTATAGGTGCAAGAGAGTACTGAGAACGAACAACTGCTCAAATAACTTGCCCTTCGGTGGGACCCTGCTCAGATCTCAAGCTGGTTTTAGCCCATTACAAAAAGAACCAGCACCATTTGCAAATCAGACTGATCCCACCCAAAAGGGCGGTCCAGATACAAAATGCATGGCAACTCTGTCTGCATGAGAGATACAGCAACCCCAGATGATCGTTTCAGCCTTGTTGGGCCTCGTCACTGCGGTAAAGCTGATATCTCTCTAGGCACTGAGAGCAAGGGGTCCACATCCGGATTAACCTGGAGAGTAAAAAAACAAGGTGCAAGAGAGTACTGAAAACGGACAACAGCTTGAATAGCCTCATCTTAGCCTGTCCCTCATCAACATCTTTATTTAGTACTTCCTTTCCATCTCCTAGCGCTTCATCTGCCAGTAGCTAATGTTTGTGCTGTATTCCCACGCATGGTATGTTTTGGTAGCAGAGTTAAGTGATTCTTGCAGTAAGTAGACATATAATATCTATCCTGACTTCTACGGATCTCAGCATTGTATTCAGAGTTTGTTTGGATTACATCATGTGTAGTAATCATGGTCATTGTTTGCTTTCCTTATAATTTAGGAATTAAAAAAAAATATCTTGGTATAACTCTTTTAACGATTCTTCTTGGCTGCAGGAAGCTAAATTTTGGTTTACTGTTTTTTTTTTTTTTTTTTTTAATGCAACATTAGTCGTTGGTTTCATTTGAAGTCCCTGAATTATAAATGGGATCACCAATGTCTGCTTTTCTTTGTCAGGTCACTTGTAGAGTACAGATATCCATCTATATGTGAGAGTTTTACTGTGTCTTAAAACTGTTTTAACATTTACCAAACCTGTTAATTTAGCTTTTTTGATATTTTGCACTGATGTGACAGAACCGTAACGATCCTCAGACACCTCGTTTAGAGTGAGTTAGTAAGCTCCTAACTCTGTCCAAAAGGACTCAATTATCCGCTGCTCCATTTCTGACCTGTAGTGTGTCCAAACTGTTTCCATCTGACTTTTAAAAGCCTTGGAGCATCTTTTTTTTCCCCCTTCTTTATTTCTTTTTTTTTTCTCACGCTCCACATGGGTTTTGGAAAACTTTTGTGAGAAAAGCACTTAAAATTTACAGCATCGTAAACACCACAACTGTTGGCACTCTGTGTTGCACGCTCATTTTTCCCTGTCTGTGCGTTGCTGTCCTACTAACGTACTGTGCTTTCTTCTTACTGACTGCACCACTCTTTCAATACTGCACATGTGGAAAGCACAGACCTTGCTACAGCAACAAAATGGTTACACGTGATTACTTTGACTCTACTTTTCCACATGAGTAAGGGCCAGGCTTATCCAAACCAAAACGGCTGTCTTTTAATTTAAAAAACAATTGACCCTTATGCATCCAAGAGAAGTAGAAGATGAAGCCAATGTTTTCTCCAATACATTTTCCAAGTTTCACAGCTCTGTACAGTAACCATGTCTACTCTAGCCAGCAAGATTTGGAGCAGCATTTTTTAAATATATATATATTTTTTTTTTATGTAGCAGAGTAAGTGCCGCAGCTTCTTATCACATGATTCTTAAAATTGCAGATCTGTCAATACATTTGCTTTTCCATTTATTCTCTGCCACTAATTAAAGGCAAAAATCTGCTTTTTAATACTTTTTTGGGAGGGGAGATATGAAAAAGCTAAAGATTCTGTCTTTTTGAGAGTCTTATGCATTGAAACCTAAGAACATAAGATACATCCTAGAAGTAATGTCTTCTAATATAAATATATAAATGGGTTGACCTAAATGTAATAGGGAAACTCCCTAAGGAACCTGTACCCTATTGTCCCAAAAATAGATTCTGCACTAACAAACCTATAAACCAGGATTTGGCTTGTGGGCATCATTCCAAAAGGGAGTGATTGGTTATGACTGCCTGTCACATTCCCGATGAGGATTTGTGTATCCTAAACCTATGCTTTTTACCTGCTTTATGGGGATAGTGTGCAGTGTGTTCCTTCTATCAATATTTGCCAACTATTGCCTAACCTGGAGAACATTTTCCAGTGCCGCACAGTATTTCTCACATCTTGCTCCACCCCTCATCTGCCCATAGGAAAGCATTGGATTGGCTGAGAGAGTAAATTTTGGTGATCTCAAATCCTGTACATGTCTAATCCTCGTGGAAAAACAGGCTGGGGATGTTATAACCCCGAGAGAGAAACAGACCGTGTGTCCTATTTCTAACTCATGGAAACACGCATGCTGTTTTTCCTGTAATGTTCTAAACATCAAAAAAATTTAGGCTCTGTATCCTATATGCTCTAACCGTTGGAGAGACACAGATTTAGAAAGATGTACGTCATAGTATGTACATTTTAAACCTAGAAGAAAAGCAGGGCATGTATTATGTAATGTTTCAGCCCCGAGTGAGAAGCAGTACAGGAGACATGGGCTGTTTTAACCCTTAGTAAGGAACTGTGTGTTGTTTTTTTTTTTTTTATGTTATAACCCAAGGAGGATGTATGCTCTGTATCCTATAATGTACTAACCCTGACTGAGATGTCAGATGTGTATTTGGTAATGGTCTGCTCTATAGGTCTGCTATAATGATCTAGCCCTGGAAAAGATGCAGGGTGTATGTCTAGTAATATTCTAGCCCCAAGAGAGAATCAGGACGGGTGTCCTGTAATATTCTAACCCTAAGGAAGGTGTAGAATGTATTCTGGTCCTAAATAATCCTAAGAGGCAAGCAGGATATGTGTTAAGTGATGTTCTAACCTTTAGAGAGATGCAGCATTCTATCATGGGAGAAGAACAGGCAATCTATCCCGTTATTTTGTTTTAGTACTTGGTATGTTCACTGATGGTACAGTGCTTCACTTCTGTAAGAGCCCTGGAAGCTGTGGCTGTCTCCATTCAGCCAGCTGACAGTTCTCCACCAATGACTATCTGTGAAATAAAAGTTGTACAAAATTGCCATTAGCCAACCCTGAACTCTAGTACTGGGCTGGCTGATGACACCCCAATGACACAGCTGGAGCGATGAAAATCAGTATGTGAATTGTTTTAAGGTAAAACGCTGTACACGAACACTTAAAGTCAGTGAGGTGGTCATGGTGCTTGGAGTAACCCTTTAAGTAGGCTGTGTAAATGTCTAACCCTAGGAATGAATCGGGATATGTATTATATATTGTTCTAATCCTCGATGATCTGCAGACTCTATACCGAACAGGGCTTTTTACTAAAGTGTGAATGCAACGTGAATTATCAATTTAAGGACAGTATATCTGAACTGGAACTGGAGGCATAGCTAACGTGTTTTCAAGTTAGGCTACATCGACGTTGAAGGAACACTCTACCACCCAAATATTAAATGTAAGAATAAACATCACTGTTTAGGAGATATACCCCCAGTGAAACCTGTATCCATTTAATGATGCATTTTTTCATTGGGGAAATATCTAAAAACAGAAAAGGTTTTCTCCTACTTATCCCGCCCAGGTGTTTTGTACCTGTCCAATTACAGACTTCCCAATGCAGTTGGGTTCTGAAGTGTCCCTTTAATTTTGAAATTAACTTTTAATTCATATAACATTTTCACTTTAGTAAATAACGCTGCTAGATTATTCTAACTCTAGGAAAGATGCTGACTGTGTTGTAGGTCTGGAAGGTGCGCAGACTGTATATTCTATCATTTCTTATAAAGCTTAGCAAAGGTGCAGACTGTGTATTCTGTAGTTCTCTCCCTGGGAGATAGAGGAGCTGGCTATGTATCATGTCATGCTTTAACCTTTCAGTTTCATTTTCCAATCTCTTTTGCTTGTCTATTTTCCCCTTCTGTAAGTCATTCACTTCCTCTTCCCATTTGCTTTTCCCCCAGAATCGAGCTGCATGTGCGGTCGATGCAGGAGTGTGATGGGAGGTGCATGTATGAATTTTGTGATTGGCTGCATGTGCATCCAGTAGCTACAGAATTGCTACTTAGCACATGCTGAAAGTACCACGTTGCAGTTTTCCAGTCATTTTAACACAGCAATACAAAACATTTCTTTTTTCCAAAAACTACAATGTTTGCATTGCTGGGTCTTCCAGACATTCAATAAAGTCGCTTCCGCTGCACTGACAGAGTAAAAACCTGTTCACAGGACACCGCAGTATGTAGGAAAGCATTGGATGCATGCGCGATGGTCATTTATGAGTAGCATTGAATTTGACCATCGCTGGACTAGGCCATATCCCCCCGATTACACTGCAGCAGGTGTGGAAGCTTCAGAGCTGGAAAAAGTTAAGTAAAACCTTTTATTTTCCTAATTTTTATTACACACAGTGGGGACAGTCTCACTATATTTTTAGGAATACAGGTTTGTATTCCTAATGTTGTGGTGTTCCCTTAATTGTCCTTACAATAATGCAAATGCTGTTTAGGAGAGAAATACATTGCTTGTCCTGCATTGTTGCACAGAAACAAAACATATGCAAGTTCTGTAATGTTCTAGTTCCATGAAAGAAGCTGGTTGTGTATCTTGTAATGTTTAACCCTGGAAAGAATACTTGCTGTGCTGTGTATCCTGTAATGATCTTGATGTGGAAGAGAAACAGGCTGTGTATTCTGCAATGTTGCAGTAATGGTAGAAAAGCCGGCAACATGTTGTACTAGTCCTTACTCTTACTGGCTGCAGAAGTTAGTTTTCTGGTCTGTTTCTGACCTGTTTGTAAATTAAAGTTCATGGTTGTTTTTAGAGCGCAGTTAAACACAAATCAAAAACAGACGGATCTGCCCAAAGGAACACATGCTGCTGGCAGGTTATTTAATTCCCTGGGGAAACTCTAGCACTCACCCACAAATGAATGCCAAAATATTACTAAAAAAAAAAGCACAGCATGAATACAGCCCTGCAGCATTTCTAAAAAATCTGGAGTATTTGTATTCAAATTTTACTTTCTCCTTAATTGTTTACAGAAAAATAGACAGGATTGAAGGAAACTGTGAAATCAAATATCTTGTATGTGAGAGTAACAGTCTACCTTTCTTGCTCAGATATGGAACACTACCGGCAAATGTGGAACCAGTCTTTTTGTTTTCTAGTCTTTTGTATTGGGTGAGCTGCCATCAGCAGCCACTCTTGGTACAAGAAAATGTGTTGTCTGTCTGGGTTAATTATTTAGACAGCAACATTAACATGTAATGTTCAATACTGGTCAAAGAGATCATTAAAGGGGCTCAGTTTTGTAAATTATTTTTCTAAATCACGCTGCTCAAAATGATCTGATGATACAGTGGGTATAACCTGCAGGGATATCCTTCTCACCCAGCAAGTGATGATATAGAAAATATTTTTTTATATGTTTCAGGCTCCTCATAAATACACCCAGCACCTCATTTGAAAAAATTGCATTTATAAGTAATGGACGCTCCAAACACTATAGCAACTTTTGCTTCTTGCACCTGCGCACTTTGTACACATCCCCATTTCCCATAACAGATGCCTTCGCGGCTTACTGTGAAGAGCCTGTGCCATGATCTCACCTAACTGCGTTAATCTCAAAACTAAGCAGAGTGGTCAGTTGATGGCAAGGTCAAGTACAGCAGCTCTCAGCTTGGGCAGCAATTTTATTCATCCCATGGGATGAGTTTAATTACTGCCAAGTATTTAATTACACATTCAATATGCTCAGCTCTACTGAAAAGGAGTGTGTGCATATAGGCTTAGCCATTTCATGACTGCTGCAATTTGAGAGGTGTTTGTCTGTGTATGTAATAAATCTGTATTTGTGTGTGTATAACATGCACTAGAAACAGATCAGCATGCACTGTGTCCTATTTACACCATATATGTCCAGAAAGAGGTAGAGTGGTCCAGCCTTTTAGTTTCTGCAGTGTTTATTTAGCTTACATTATAGGAGTTGGCTTGTACTCTGGACTCACATAAGGTTTACCAGCTTTATCACTCCTCTCCAACATCCTCCCCAGACACTGGGATTACCCCTTTCCTACATTGTCATCACTCCCTCCTACATTGTAATCACCACTTAGAAACGTAGCCATTGCCTTCTTACATTAGGAGCGCTGTAAGTCCAAGAGCTAAATAACAATGCTTGTGATTTTTGTCTGCCTCCAAGTACCAGTGTTGATCTTTATTGGTCCATCTTTAAAATGGCAGGATAAACAGATTTACTTTATGTATAATTGTGTATTACGATGCATGCAAGACTGGTCCAGACTGCATCAATATGGTCCCTACAATGTTGCAGGATCTTGCATTCACTTAATTAGTTCACAAAAAATGCACTTTGTCTACCTTGGATTCTACAGACAAATTGAGGCTGCCAGCAGAGGGCGCCATTGAGGTAGTTTGCCCCATGTTTTAGCCTACAGGTGGGTTTGCGACTCTGGTACTGGAATTATTTACCAGAGTGTGTGGGGAACAGAAGGGGAGTTTGCAAATTCTGTCCAACTGTAATCAGACCTGTACCTTGCAAAAACATACGAGAGCTGTGTACTTGTTCTTTGCAATGGCTTCTGAATGTAGTTAGCCAGATAATAATGCTTTTATTTAATCCTAGTTGCCTTTATATTGAGATAAAACCTGTGATAGTTTGTGCTTTACTGTACATACATATTTAAAGAACCCTTGTCATTTTGTGATCCATTAATCAAACCAAGTGTGCAAGCCAAGAGACTAAAATAATTATTCAACAATCTGAAAGCAAAGCACATTATTTGTGTTCTTGGTTTCTCTCCGCCCCGACAAACCTTAACCCAAACTTTTTTTCTACTCTACGTAGTGGCAGCTGCATGCATTCTGGTACGTTTTACAAGCTCTTTCCAGCAGTTTTAGCCCTGCAGCAGCCAGCTGCCCAGATCATTGTGTGCAGTGTTTGGGAACACGCGGATCTGCGTACAGCACAGCGTGAAGCTCCTGCTGAGGTTTGAATGACAGTTTGTTTCAATGATCAGCGTGAGTAGCTATCAAACCACCGGAAGCTCTTTAAATCTGTAGACCTTGTACAGACAACTAAGCAATAAAACCTGCCTTTTTTATTTATTTTTTCTTCCTCTTGTCCTATTCTGAAATGCAGAGCTTCACTGAGCTGCAACTCTAAAACAGCTTTTATTAGATAAACAAGAAATGCTATAAGGAGATGACATTTTGTTTGTAAAACCTAAAGATTACAGTATCTTTGTAACTCTCTGAATTAAGGCATAGATTTCTCTCTTCCACCTGCTAAAGTCCTTCTAGAATTCAACAAAAGTACAAGTAGAAGGCTGCATTATGTATGTTTTAAATTACATAGTTTCAGATAATGCATTAACAGCTAAAAATACTAAGTATGTATTCAATACTATATATTTAATCTGAACACATTTTACGCCACATGCACACATTCTAAAGATTGGAATTTACTTTTATTTGTTATTTTTCTAACTTTTTGTTTGTAAATGATCAATTAATATAAATAGAGAAGATTGAAAGGCATTGTTAAACATTACATAGATTATATGATTGTTCCTTTAAGGGCATTTATTTGTAAGCCTACATACCTGTTTGTAGGCATCCAATAGGAAACTTTTCCAGACGCAGCGCAGCCCTTCAGGGGTGAGCATCCGTCGCCATTGACTCTGGCTGGATTTGGAACGATTTAGTTGCAGGAGCACGTGTTTTACCAACACAACAGAATCGTACAGAGCCAAGAAAAGGCAGTTAGAGAAGAACCCTGGCAAAATCTGGAGTGTGATTAACAAGTCCACACTCAGGAGCCCCATAATGTCTTCCCAGAAATCCCCCTCAACCTGCAACGCTACCTGCCACTATATCCCTCATTAACCCTGTTAAAAAATAATGGGGGGAAAACCCAAGACTTTAGAAATAAGTAATTTCTGCTTTTTTGTTTTCCTGCACCAAGGGAGTGGAAGTGCAAGGTGCTAAAAATAAGAAATCATCAAACTGAGCTTAAAAGCAAAACAAAAAACAGGTGTCTGCAGTATTTAGTGCTCCTGCTTTCTGAGAGAAATTAGGCTGACTGCAGCTGAGCAGGGGATTTCAAAGTTCAGCTCATTTCTTTATTGCAAGTTAGAAAAAGTTTCTCTTAAGCTAGAAATACGAGGTGAATTCCACTCTTTCCCCTCTCTTCCTCCCTCTGGCTCTCTGTGTCTCTGAGCTATCTCTTTATGTCCCCAGATTTTCCCGCTGTCTCCCTCCCATTCTGTAGCCCTTTTATACAGTCCCAGGCTAATTGCTGCAATAAGAGAAATGAAAAACCCTAATCTTGCTTGTGATCTGTTCTTTGACGTCAGGGTAGGAGAGGGCATTACTTTGGCTGGGGATGCTCTGAATAGGGAAAGGAGCCGCTTAAAAACTTTCAAGGCGGGACTATGTTATTAAAGGAGAGGATAACACAGAAACCCCTCCCTCCATGTATCTTGCAGCCTCTCACAACTCTCAGGCAGCTGAGAGACTTTACCTGGCTGGAGAAAGAGGTTATCCCTCCTAGTGAGATTGCAATTTATTCTCTGTAACTTTCACTAGTAGTGCGTCAAGTAATGAAAGGACAAACAGATCTATCTCTTAGACAAGCATAAGTTATACCAGATTTTATATTGATGTTTCAAAGGTGCACTATGTTTTTTTAGTTGAGACTTATTAGAATCTTAAATTGTTGTTGATATAAATGGTGTCTATAGGAATGTCTACACCTGTACAAGTGGAAGAACTGGGATACATGTCTTAGGCTCAATTACATATTTATATAGTTATACAGTTTATAAAATCGCCTTGCACATTTGGATATTTTTCAGTGCCACACCAACCGGTATTAAGGGTATATATATATATATATATATATATATATATATGTGTGTGTGTGTGTGTGTGTGTATATATGTATATATGTGTATATATATGTGTATATATGTATATATGTGTATATATATATATATGTATATGTATATATGTATATATATATATGTATGTATATATATGTATATGTGTATGTGTATATGTGTATATATATGTGTATGTGTGTGTGTATATATATATATATATATATATATATATATATATATATATATATATATATATTTAGTAAGGCAATCTGCATGAATTAGGTTTCGATACCATGGAGTGGATTTATACAAAATCTTGCACCTCAACCTGGATCTGTTTCAATTATTGTATACACCCAGCATCCCAGAGGAGTGACTTAACAAAAAAGATAGTTTTGCATTGCCAGGTAATTTAACAGCAGATTATATCCTATTGTGTATTCTGTTACAAATACACATTTGTAATTTCAGTAATCTGACACACACCTTGATTTCTAATGCTTCTCATTTGTTTAATTTACATTTTAAATGCTTGTAGAGTCTATAAAATGTTAATATTTGGCTTTAAAATTGATTCTTCTGCTTTCATTTTGTTAGGACAGGGAAACAATGCTCCTTAAAGGGACACTTTAGGCACTTCTGACCACTTTTTCTCATTGAAGTGGTTATAATGTCTTGAGTCCCCTGGAACTTTCCCTTTGTTCAGTCTTATTGTTTTCCAGTAGTTTAATGTTGATTGAGGGTCCCTGCAAGCCCACAGCCTGGCCCCTCATTGCTGCTCAGACTAATGTTTAAGCATGATGGGTGCCAGTGATAGTGTCAACTATCTATCGCTCTTAGTCCATCACAGACACCATTTTGCTGATATCAGGTAAGCTAAGGTGGAGTATGCTTTCTGCCATCATTATACCTGTAATGAGGGCTAGGCTGCAGCACCTAGGAAGCCTAAACTATTTGCAAAGACTTAACAACGAACAGAGGGGCAGTGCCAGGGTACTCCAGGCACTATGTTTACTTCAGTGAGATTAAGTGGTTATGGTGCCTAGATTGTCTGCATACCTGTCTTTTTATATTCAGAGAAAAGACAGTGTTTACTTTACAGCCTAGAAACACCTCTAGTGGCCACTTCTCAGAAGGCCACTAGAGGTGCTTGCTGGGTCAGTTCTGCACAGTGTGCAACACTGACGTTTATGGAGACACTGAACTTTCCAAATAGAGATGCATTGATTAAATGCATCTCTATTAGGAGATGCTGATTGGCCGGGGTGTTTTGGATTTGCGCCTCCCCCCCCATCCTGCCTCCCTGGCTGAGATCATCAGAATTGACAATCTCAGCCAATCTGAAGCTGTCCTGTGGGAACACATTGTGACTGGCTGAGATCATCAATTTTGATTGTCAGCCAAGGAGGCGGATTGGGTGCGGGGCCAGACGTGAGTAGCCCTGTGTGATGCTGAAAACAGGTTAGTAAATCACATTTCTAACCCAAGGTAAGTGTGGCTTAAGCTGTGGTTTTAGGACTATAGTGTCAGTAATATAATAATAAAATATTATAACCACTAATCATGCTCATCTGGCTGCTAGAATCTTTAGATTATGTTCCCAAATCTTTTCTTAAAGTATTTGAAAATTGTTTGCTATATTTGCACATTTGCCACAGACTTCTTCCAGGGTAATTTACTAAAGTGAGACTTCAAAGTGAATTTCAAATTTAAGGCCAATGTAGCTAAAATGAAAGCAGACCTGCCTGAATTTCCGGTTAGGCTAGTTTGGCCTTATAATTTGAAATTTACTTTGAATTCTTACTTCAGTGGAAATATATATGTATATTTCACTTACCACACACTTTTAAAAATGTAGTTATTTGTCATTCATGGATTTTACCATACATCATAAGTGCAACCTATAGTTTTTTATTAAAGGACCACTCTAGGCACCCAGACCACTTCAGCTTAATGAGGTGCCAGGTCCAGCTAGGGTTAACCCATTTTTTTTATAAACATAGCAGTTTCAGAGAAACTGCTATATTTGTAAACAGGTTAATCTTTCCTCCAATTCCTCTAGTGGCTGTCTCATTGACAGCCGCTAGAGGTGCTTGCGTGATTCTCACTGTGGAAATCACAGTGAGCGCACGCAAGCGTCCATAGGAAAGCATTGTAAATGCTTTCCTATGAGACCGGCTGAATGCGCGCGCAGTCAGCCGAATGGGAGGAGAAGAGGAGGATCGGAGGAGGAGAGCTCCCCGCCCAGCGCTGGAAAAAAGGTAAGTTTTACCCCTTTCCTCTCCCCAGAGCCGGGCGGGAGGGGGACCCTGAGGGTGGGGGCACCCTCAAGGCACTATAGTGCCAGGAAAACAAGTATGTTTTCCTGGCACTATAGTGGTCCTTTAAGTCAGATTACAAAGCAGTCAGCATTTGTATTGCACATCCATAGTGTTTAATGTTACAAATCATTTCCATGGAGACAATAGCAGCACATAGCATTACTTTAGCATACCTTGTGACAAGGCAGACATTATATTAATAATATACAAAGTCAATACAGATACTCACATTGGAACACATTAAATGTTTCATCACAAGAATATGGCGCAAAATTTGAAAAGTCACCAGTGAGCTGGGCTTCTGGCAAATGTTCCTGCTGGCACCATTGATTTTATAATAGTTTTTAGATGTGCTAGTCTGGCTGCTGAATGAAACCCTTGAGTATATCTGTGTGGTTCCTAAACATTACAGGCATTTTCAACTCCTGGCATAAACTCATTGAAAGTATGGGTTTAATACTTGGGACAAGTGTTTGAGGCAAGGAGCCAGGATTACGGATTATCCTGAAAAACAGTGACATTTGGCAAGAATGCCATGATGGCTTTACATCTACTCCATGTGTTTTGACTTTCCTTTAACAGATTTTCCTCTACCTCCTATGCTGAGCGCTGATCCCATGTATCCTTCAAGCTTACTGATGCATTATCTTCAGTACATTACTAGGCCCTATTTCCTGCCAGACCCAACGAATCAAAGCTGCTACTACTGGTTTCGAAAGCCCTGATGTATCTGATATTTACAGAGAAACAGTGTTGGCCAAAAGCACTGATATTATCTCAAGGTGAACCTTGTGTCAAGTGGGATTTCAGGCCTCATTTGTATACATTGCATAGACATATCCATATTTAAAAATGTACACTGCTGTCCTGGGGGTAAACATACCGCAGCTTCCAGATTCATGTACAAAGCAGTCGCAGCTGCTTTCTGATAAAGAACTGGCCCTGTACCTTACTCAGAGCTTTCTACTTCACGCACTTCCCCTGTGGTGTTTCAGCTGCATATGCTGTGAACAGAATATGGGTTTCCTTGTATATGAGCTACCGTATATACTCGAGTATAAGTCGAGACCCCTAATTTTACCCCCCAAAACTGGGAAAACTTATTGACTCGAGTATAAGACTAGGGTGGGAAATGCAGCAGCTACTGGTAAATTTCTAAATAAAATTATATCCCCCAAAAATTATATTAATTGGATATTTATTTACAGTGTGTGTATCTAATGAATGCAGTGAGTGTGTTTGTATGAATACGGTGTGTGTGAGTATGAGTGCAGTGTGTGTGTGTATGAGTGCAGTGTGTGAATGAGTGCAGTGTGTGTGTGTGTGTGTGTGTGTGTGAATGAGTGCAGTGTGGGTGTGTGAATGAGTGCAGTGTGTGTGTGATGCAGAGCCTTGGTGGGGGGGTGGGCTTTTTTTTTTTAATTATTATTATTATTTTAATATATATTGTTTTATATTATTATTTTATTATTTAAATTTTTATTTATTTATATTTTTTCGTTCCCCCCCCCCCTTCCTGCATGTTAGCTGGCCAGGGACGGGGGCTCTCATTCCCTGGTAGTCTAGTAGATGGGTTGTGTAGGAGGCGGGCTGGCAGCGAGCTGTAACTTACCTTTCCTG